CCTGTTTAGTTGAAAGATGGGACATGCCAGGCCTGGGTTATTGCCCTGTGATGGCTTTAATCCTGATTTGCCCTCACCCTTGGCCTGCTGATCTCGGCACCTTAGACTCGCAGGTGGGGCTGGGATCCGGAATCAGGTTTTCCAGCAGGCTGCTTTAATAGCATGAGCTGAACTAAGCACTTGGTAGCGAAGGCCCCCAAACTCCGGGGTGAAGGGAGGTTTGAAAGTCAGACCTGGGTCTGGCATCTCAGCGCCTCAGACAGCTCCCAGCAGCTCGGTGCGTGCGTGTGCTATGTTGATATAAATGATGCAGAAATACAAAGGTGGCATTTCCCCTACCAAGGGAGGACAATGACCAACCAGAGCAGGCAAGTCCAGCGCCATGGCTCCAGCACAGCACCTCCCCCACTGCGCCCCATTCCAGCGCCTCGCTGGCGGAGACCTCGTGAGCACCCACCTCATTGGCAGCCAGGCAGGTGTAGGTCCCTTCCTCGCGCTTGCTGAAGTTGGGAATCAGCAGGGTGCCGTTCTTGAAGATCACGAAGCTCCCTGCACTTTGCTTGGAGCCCCCAGCAGCTCGGTCCTTCATTGGCAGCCAGGCAGGTGTAGGTCCCTTCCTCGCGCTTGCTGAAGTTGGGAATCAGCAGGGTGCCGTTCTTGAAGATCACGAAGCTCCCTGCACTTTGCTTGGAGCCCCCAGCAGCTCGGTCCTGCCTGGGTCTTTCCACACTGGGCCCATTTACCTCTGTCCCTTGGCTGGCGGTCTGCACCCGCCAGCTGAGCTCGGGCGGGGGGCTGCCGGTCGCGCTGCAGTGCAGCAGGAGCGTGAAGCCCTCGTGGAGCTCGGTGCTGTCCAGGCTGGGCTGGGAGCAGGCCCGGGACCCTGGCCAGGGGCAGGCCTCGGAAGCTGTCCGGGGCTGCGCAGCTGATGGAGTCCCGCTCGGGGATGGAGATGAGGGTGTTCTCGGCCCAGCCCTTCAGCCACTGGAGCGCGCAGGTGCAGTTCAGTGGGTTGTTGTAGACCTGCAGCTGGGACAGTGACCTCATGGCGTCGAAGGTGCCCTGGGCGATGGTGGCGAGCTTGTTGTCATTGATCCACAGGGAGCGGAGGTCGCGCAGGGTGCGGAACGCGTCCGCGGGCAGCCTCGCCAGCTGGTTGTTGTTCATCTTCAGCAGCTGCAGGGCGCTGAGGTTGTGCAGGTCCCGCCAGGGGAAGTCCGCCAGCTGGTTGTGGCTCAGGTCTATGTTTTTCAAATGCAGTAGCCCAGCAAAGGTGCCCGCCTCGATGGCGCTGATCTGGTTGTGCGCCAGCCAGAGCGACTGCACCTGGGTGACCTCCAGGAAGGAGCGCTGCTGCAGGGCGTGGAGCCTGTTGGCCGACAGGGTGAGGGTGGTCACGTTGGAGGGCAGCCCCGCGGGCACCTCCTGCAGGTCTCGGTAAGCACACTCTGCGAGTTGGCGGCCAAACTTTTTTTCTACACAAGTGCAGGGCTCTGGGCAGCCCTGGCTCACCCCGAAGAAAGCTGCAATCCACATGCAGAGAAATGGAGCCATCGTTTCTCCTGCGGACGAGAGACCAAGAAGGGCCCAGGTTATTTTGCTTCCATCGTTTCTCTGCGACATCGCTCTCCTATCCTCTGGGCTGCAGCTTTGAGCAGCCGTTTCCCCTCCGGTTCTCGTTGACCCTGGCGATGGAGGCTAAGCTCCCACCCGGGGCTAGCTGTCATTGCTGGACTGGTAAGTCGGACGAGAAGGAGATTTAAATCTCAGCCCAGTGAGGCATTTCCACTGGACCCAGACTAGAGCCCAGTGACAAGGAGGCGTTGGGTCTGCAGATCAGACTAGCACGGCTCCCCTGGGACGAGAAGCCAGCGGCAGGCCCGGAGAAGCCATCGCTTGCTATTGCTCCGAAATAAATTTGAGGGCCTGAGCCTTTCTGTG